GTCGATTTCCTTGTGTTCATTGTGTTTTTGAATTCCAGCAAAATTATTATTATTTCGGGACTATTGGGAATAATATTTTTAATTTCGCGCATTTTTCCTTTATCTACCTAGATTTGGTTTTTTCTTTCGTATTTCTTCTCTTTTTTTGCACACGCGCGGCGAACGATTTTGTTTATTGAGTTTCAAAATGCATCAGTAATGAACTGTGTTGATGGAGTATTCGTTTTGATGATTCTTGAAAAATATGTCGTCGTTGCGAAATGCGCGGAGATTTCGTCCAATTCATCTGTCCGGTAATTATCTCCAGCAATACACTCTCTTGAGACCTTTGCTTCCGTTTATTTCATCTCAGTACCAGAAAAAGAGGACTGTATGGACTGACATTTGTACAGAACTTTGTTAGAGCCACATTTTATAGAGATTTACCACCAAAAAGTAAAAATGGATATGTTGGTATGTATCTTGAATTCTAATAATAACTTGAAAAATGCTCAAGATATCATATTCTAGGCAATGTTTGGTATTCTTACATTAAAATTGGAAATGCTGTATTGTTCAGTGTATATATACTGTATATCCGATCATTTTTGGGATGCATCAGTTATACGGAGATTTGTTTGTAAGTCTTGGGATGAGTCAGTTGCATTCATTTTGGAGGTGGACAGTTTTTTTTCCTTTGCTCTTCTATCCTTCGTTGCCATCTAATAAAGTTTTTGCCCATCATGCTATGGATTGAAACAAGAAGGAGACGTCACATCAGGAATGCCCTCCACTGAAGTGAAGTTCGAGGGAGAGCAACCGCCCAATTGCTTGCTCTACCAAGTTTGGGGTCCTGGTCATCATGAGATTCAGAGTGTAATGGAGTGATTTTGGGATCCACCAAGCCCATTTTATTGTAAAGCCAAGTCTTTTTTAGGGAGAATCCTCCTTACAGCTGTTATATCCTCCCTAAGGGTTGCAGCAATTCCTATTTTGGTTTCAAAAGGATCCTCTTTCATTAGGGACTCCACATGGGCCAAATCTTGCTCAGAAGCATCTGCTGGTTAATGAAGTTCTGAGACATGCTAGACGCATACGGCATTGCCGACCTGGAAATACTGTAGTTGAATTAGTTTTCCCATTCATAAAAAGTTGAATTACCTTGAAGCTTCAGCATGCAGGAAGGCATTGTTTTTTTCATTCTTTAGAAACCCTACATCTCTCAGCAGGCGGCACCACCAAATTGTTAAGAGTAAGTGTTTGCCAATGAATGATCAGTTGAATGAAGGATGGAGGTCAATCAAACTGAGGTAAACTTGTATTTTTCTCTTTGGCCTTTATATAGGAGTAAAGTACCACTGTTGGTTTTTCACAGAAGACACAAGAACACAAAATAAAGACAATGCTGCTTCCTTCAGAGTTCAGGACAGAGTATGTATAATATGGGCTGGTTGAGGGGGTTATTTTAATGGGTATTTCACCATTCTTAACCCATCATGAAAAATGGTCCAAAATTAAAAAAACACACACACAAAATGGTGGATATTGGCATGCTGCAAATATTCACAATTTTGTGCATTATGACAAAGGCATTTTTGCACCCACAGGATTTTTGTACAGCAGAATTTTTTTACCCATGGCACAGGATTCAAAAATCCAGTCAACAGAAACTCTGCCATACACTGGTATTGCATTTTTTTTCTACCTGTGGGATTTGCTGATGGAGCCCTGTGCTGAAAACTGTGTCTAAGAATGTGCATAATGTTAGACATATAGTTGTAAACACAAGGCTCCACTGGAAAATCCCCTGGTTACAAAAATCTGTTGGTCAGCAAAATATTGCTTTACAAAAAATCCTGCCAGTACGACACTTTTTCCATTTACAGAATATTGTGAATGGAAAAAGTGTTGTACTGGTGGGATTTTTTGTGGAGCAAAAATACTGAAAGGTTACACAAGGTTATGGCACTGCCCTAATCATTGTAATTTTGTCAATATACATGTTACAGTATTTCCAAATTTAAAATGTGGCAAACATCATGGCACTTTTTATAAAGTTTTCAAAAGTAATTTTGACTAAGAAATGAATTTTTGCCACATTTGTTAAGTAGGTAAAATGGGAAATGGGATTTTCCAAAAATTTGGTTTTTTTCAGTTTAGCTCATTGTAATTTTTTAAATATTCTCTCAATTCAAAAAATGTTGCAAGAGTATGTGCACAGGGTTGTTTTATGAATTAGATATTTTTTTTGGTTGAAATGGTGGAAAATGGTACAGACAAAATTGAGAAAGTAAAATTACTTTTTTGCAATTTTCATACAGTTTTGAAAAATCTTTTTGTGTTTTTCATTGTAACTTAGTGAATTTTAAAGCGGTTTTAAAATTAAAATAAAGCAAATGTAGCAAACATCATGGTGCTTTTCATGCAGTTTTCAAAATGAAGTTTGCACAAAAATTCAATTTGTGACAAATTTTGAAAGGCAAGACAATCAGAAACGGGAACCTCCTGCAGGGCTCTATGGGAGGAATTTTTACTGAGAGGTTAGGGCAGTACTGTAACCTTGCTGCTTGGTTACAGCCCTCCCATAACCTAGCAGTAACTCACTGAAAGGTTACAGAAGGTTATGGCACTTCCCTATAATCATTGTAATTTCATCAATATTCAGCTTATATCCAAATTTAAAATTTTAAAATGTAGCAAACATCATGGAGCTTTTTATAAAGTTTTAAAATTAATTTCTATCAAGAAATGAATTTTAGCCACATTTGTAAACTTGGCAAAACTGGAAATGGAATTTTACAAAAATTCCATTTTTTCAGTTTAGCTCATTGTATTTTTTTAATATTCTCCCAAATTCAAAAATTTTACAGGAGTATGTGTGTGGGAATCTTTCAGGAATTTAGATATTTTTGTTTTGTTGAAATTGTAACTTTTTCAATATTCTCACAATTAAAAACTTCCATGTGGCTGTGTGTGTGTAGACATTTTACAAATTTAGATGATCCTTAAATTTAAAATAGGTTGAAACTCCATAAATTAAAATTGAAAAATAAATATAATTTTTTTGTAAAATTTTTACAATTTCCAAAAATCATTTTTGTGTTTTTCACTGTATCTCTGTCAATTATAAGCACAGTAGATGTTCAAAAAAGAAAATTTGGGAAATTCAATGACACTTGCTACATTTGAAGAAATTTGAAGTTTCATTACAAATTAAAGTTTTGCCAAATTTTTCAAGTTGGAAGAACAGGAAATGGCACCCTCCCACAGGCCTGGCTGGGGGCTCTGTGGGAACCATTGATTGAAAAATTAATAAAAAAGAAATGCATTTGATTGAAGCATGTATGTGATTAGGATAACACAAAGGAACTGTAATCATGGGTTTCTCTTCATAAATGTATCCACAGGAAAGGTTTATAGTTAAATGAGTACTCATTGTCCTGATACACTGTTTATACCCCTTGAAGGCAATGTCTCAAGTCTCTCACAGATTTGCCTCAAGGAGAGAGTGATGTGCTTGGGGAGAGAGGGGCTGCAGGGGCACACTGGCTCATATTTCAGTGGAGCACAAATTAGCTCCGGCAAGATGGGCGTCCACAAATGTTCCCCCTTTCTTAATTAAAGAAACTTGGAAGATTAAAAAAAACTTTGACTTTCTGTATTTGTAGAACACCTGCATTTCATGCTTTGTCAATAAATTAAACAATGAAGGACAGTTATTAGAGAAAACAAATTTAAAGTTCTAGATTGTTTCTCATAAATTTTTAATTTGCTAGATTTTTCAACAAAAACATGACGATTCAAAAAATTTCTGCAACTCTAACCCCTTTGAAAATTTGACGTTTGGTGAAGAGGGAAATTTTTCATAAATTTTCAGATTTGAACGAAAAAATAATTTTGTAAGAATGGATTTAGAAAAGGTTTTACATGCTCCTTTTCACCTTTGTCATTTTAAATTATTTTTAAGGTTTGAAAATTGGAAATGTAGAGAACTTCATGATGCTTCTAATGCAGTTTAAAATTTGTATTTCAGTGCATAATTCCTTTTTTGGCAAATTTTAAAATATGGAAAATTGGGAAGAAAAATGGAAACAAGAATTCAAACTTTTTAGTTTAGCTCATTTTAATTTATTTGATTTTGATGAAAGTTGTAAAATATTTACAGGGTGTCATGCACACTGATGTTTTACAAGTTTTTTGTCTTTTTATCAAAAACATTTTTTGATGATTTTTGTACAATTAAAAAAACGTTTTTACATATTTGGTTGTAATTCTGTCAAATTTTGAGATGTGGGCATTTAAAAAATATTACATTTAGAGGACATCTTTGCGCATGCAATGCTGTAAAGTATTTGAAAATTGGTTCAAAATGCAAGTTTTGACAAATTTGTAAAGTTTAGTTATTGGGAAACATTTTTGAAAATTTGGAACAAATTTAAATTTTTAACATGTAGGTCCATGGAGGATCACCTTTCAGTTAACAAACCAACCGGTTAACAAACCAGTTTGTGGAACAAAATAAGTTTGTTAACCGGGGTTTGACTGTACATGTTTTTACTTGTGACTGACTATTGTGTGATTGTGTTGCAGTCATTGCCAAGTTTTGAGGACTTCAATAAACTCTGTGATAATACCTGATGCTGGCAAAGGATTCATTTATAAATCCTTACTGGGGCTTGTCTGGCTTTTAAACTCTTCTGATTGAGTCAGCATTGCAAAGATCACAGGCACCATGGAGAACTCAATCCAAGGCTGCTGCACAACCACAAGTGCCACCTGCACCTGCTGCGGTTTCCAACCTGCCAGTGGCATTGTTGTCTGCCAGGCCATCCATGGACAAGCAGGCCTCACCAGCCACTTCCCCATCCACAATTTGGAGTCTCCCATCACTGTCTCCCATCACTGTCTCCCATCACTGTCTCCCATCACTGTCTCCCATCACTGTCTCCCATCACTGTCTCCCATCACTGTCTCCCATCACTGTCTCCCATCACTGTCAACCATGTTGTCAACATGAAACCATGTGGGAGGCTATCCTGCTCCCGACTCTTCAGTATTTGGTGGAGGTGCATTGTTTGGGAGCCCCAAGCAGTGCACAATGCAATGATTACGTTGCTCTCCTGGAGACCAACCAAATCCTGGCATCCCGTGCCCAGGGCTGGATACCTCCCCTGGGCATGATGGTACCCACCAACACAGCAGGAGATAGTTGTTGCTACTCCAACACCCATTTTTCCAGTTCTCCATCAACCAAGCTATTGTCAGCCCTGAGAGCCTCAGCTGTTGGACCTAATCTGGCAACAAGAGAACCAAAACCTTTGAAGACTACACAGATCATCTATGCTGGATGCCTGCAGTCAACAATCTCTCCACAGATATGAAGGTATGGTGCCTTGTAAATAAGACCCATAACCTATATAGTTTGGGAGACTGCATCAATTCTGCGCAGGCATGGCATTGTTGAATTTGAGGACCTTGTGGCTGCTATTGCCATTTCCCATCCAACGCTGCATATTGACCACTTGGACAGGTTTTGACAGCTTTGTCTACAAAATGGCAACAGCTATGTCAGCTTTGGAGGCAGGTTAGAGCACAATTTTGACTTGTTTCTTGCACCCCTGCAACAACTGGTTGCCACTGAGATCATCAGAGAAAAAATTTTGATTGACCAACTGGTTGCGGTTACTCCAATTGGTTTACAAGGCAACCTATGTAAGAAGTGGATTGACAATACGGACTGGACCTGGGTGGAAGCTGTGTCCAAGGCAGAGTGCTATTGACTCCATCATCATGCCACATGGAGCAGCATCAGGACCAGTTCTTGGACAACTTCCAAGTTGCATCTCCCACACACAAAGACAATGTTGCAAGGGACACCAGGCTTACGTCCAACAGCAGGGTTGCAATCCACCAACCAATGCAGAAGCAGCAGCTCCTGTGCCACCAGCGTGCCCTGCAACTGCAAATCCTCCTACAAATCCTAACCATCAGTTGGGAAATGTTTTTTACTGTTTTTATTGCCATGCCCCAGGTCAGAAGTGCCCTTAATTGCTACATGGAAACAGGTGCTCATCCCAGTGAATGTGGCACACTGTGTATAGATATGGATCTTGCTGTGCCTCCTCCTTTCATCTTGCCTCTACAAATTGGAGAAACCATCATTCCAGCGCTAGTGGACATATGTGCATCCTAAACATTCATTGCTCAGCAGTTAGAGGACACCTTACACCTTACCCCCCAACCTTTTTCTGTCCACATGTTAATATACAGCCCTAACCCCCAATAGGACATAGGACAAACATAATTAACCCTGCAAGTTACTCTTGACTTCCCCTTTCAAGGGTTACAATATGCCCTCCTTATTTTACCTCATTTGTCAGATCCTCCCATCTTACTTGGATGCACCACATTGCAGCATTTCCTGTTGGCTCTTAATATCAACAATGATTGGGTCTGCATGGGTTTCTGAAGAAGTATCCAAAATTTTGCATCTCCAACTTCGGCAGTCAGAGACAGGATTGCATTTGTTGATGGGACTCACCAAAAGCTTGGGCAAATTGCAGAAATCTTAATTTTCCACTCAGACCTTTTCCACCAGTGGTCAGGTTGGCAAGGGTTTTTTCTGGAACACACTGTTACCCTTAAAACAATAGGTGATCAAATCCTGCACACTTGGCCCTTCCTCCAATCTGCCAAAATGAATATGTTCTTTTCTGCCCTGGTTGACAAGTATATTGAAGCAGGAATTATAGAACACATGTCTTTGCCCTACAACTCCCCCAAATTTCTTACACAAAAAAGAATTCCAACCCAACTGCACTGCTGCATTAATTAGCACTGGCATTTAGTAAAAAATTATGAATGATCAATGGTATTCTCTCTGACAATCAATACCCAATGACAGTCATCCAGGATTTACTGGATGCATTGGGTCTCAATAACTCTTATATCTGCTGCTTCAATCTTCATTCTGCATTCCATCATCTTCCAATATATTTTGAAGATAGACCTGAGACCAAGTTTTGGACCCTGCAAGGCCAAATGCAGTATTGAGTGATGCCATTTTGATTAAAGAATGGCCCAGCAGCATTCCAGCAATGTGTTAAGCACATATTGCACAAACACCTCTTCATACAATGTTTAGCATATATGGACAATATTATTGCCTTTGGCAAGACATTAACGCAGGTCTGCAACAATCTCAAGCTGATACTTGCCACATTAGAGAATGTGTGGGCAGCCATCAATCTGTCCAAATCAATGTTTCTTGCGCAGAAAACAACCTTTCTTGGCCACAAAATTGATCAAATGGGAACTTTTCCCCTAGAGAATTCTTGATGCCATCCATTGATTCTCCAGACCCAAGACTATATGCAACAAATGCAAAGATTCCTGGGTATGGCAACATACCTCTGTGCACATTTGCCAACCAACTTTGCGTCATCTGAGAAGATTCTCTGCCAGATACTGGCCAAGCCCCTGACCAAGCTGGTATGGACTCCAGAAGCCATCAATGCATTTACTCAATTGAAACATATTTTAGTGGAGTCCACGCATTTAGAGAGGATGGACCCATTTGAGACCCACTGAGGTCCATTGCAATGCCTCACTGACCTCACTTGGGGCAATCTTACACACACACACACCTGGTGTGTGTGTGTGTGTGTGTGTGTAGAATGAACACACACACACACACATGAGATAGCTGTGTGTGTGTGTGTGTTCATTCTATATACCTTCATGTCCTTGAATTTAAAATAAATTGCTTTTTATCCTTTCTTTCAACTAAATTGGTCAATCATCCATCACAATGAAAGTGCATCCTCCATATTCCCCACATGGGGCAACTGATGCAGCTGTTGACTGATGAACAGGTGCATCAGTTGCCCCCAAGATCTGATGCATCCACTGACACTATTCCCTGAGCATGGACATGCCTTAAACAGACCATCAGTTTGATGAACTTCTGATGCATAAAGAGAAACCATGAGAGAGCATCAGCATGATGCATGTACTTTGATGCTCCATCTGACCATTGTTGATGCTTCAGCAGATGCTCAAATTATCTGCTGGGTAGTGCTTTGCACAAACGGTAAAAATAGTGCTGTGTATATATGCAGGTCCAACTATTAGAAAAATGTCAGCCATATATTTTCAAAATCTTGATACAGCTATGGCAGCAACCGGATTGGCACTCATCTCAGAATCTTGTATCAGCTACACAATCTGGGGGAGAATTGGATGTGAGGCAAAGCAGGGAAAAGAATCATCACTCTGACCATAGCTCTAGACTTGAAAGGACCTCTTATTGCCTTTATCAGTGACTCTTGTGAATATTGACTGGTGTAAAATACATGTTATCTCTTATGTGAATTTGATGAAACTTGAAACTTATTTACAGGGTGTCATGCACAGTGATGTTTTACAAGTTTATTTATTTTTGTTGAAAATTGTTGCAAATTAAAACAGCTAAAATTCAAAACATACAAATATTTGTTGGTGCTTCTTGTACAATTTTCAGCAATGTTTTCACATTTTTGGTTGTAATTCTGTCAAATGTTCAGATTTTTGCATGTTTAAGAGAGGAAATTTAGAAAACATATTTGAGCATGCAAAGCTGAAAACAATCTTGAAATTGGGTGAAAATTAAATTTTCAACAATTTTTCAAAGTCAGCAAAATGGACTGCAGTCTGTAAGCCAGTTTACCCTCTGTAAGCAGGTGCGCAACTTCCCCAAAACAGAGCCAGTCCATAAACTGAAAATCTGTAATCCAGTATGTAAAGGGGTTTGACTGTATATGGTCTGATTGCAGGTTTACATGCGTGGGGCATCAAGTGAGGGTTTACACATGGGTGCCATGAAGGCTTGGGCCAACCCTGGTTAAAACCACACCCACTTGATGTCATTACACAATTATTTGCTGAGATTCTTGAGTTCCCAGGATTTTTGAGTTTTTCACATTGTATTCATATTTTTGCACAAGGCATTCAAGCATGGAATGCGTACAATATTGTACTTTTCTCAATTGGTTTTCTAACTTATTTGAAAAACTTATAATCCAGGATGAACTTCTTAAATGCTCCACAGTATCAAGGAGGAATTGTGCCTCCAAATTGTGAAAACACAGTAGCATGTTTGTTGAAGCTGCACCTTGAAAATATTGCCAACATGGGAAAAATATTGCCAACATGGGAAAATATTGACAACATGGGGAAAATATTGCCAACATGGGGAAAATATTACCAACATGGGGAAAATATATAGCCGACATGGGGAAAATTATTGCCAATGTTGCTAAAGTGTATAGCTGATGTTGCTAAAGTTTGAACTGATGTAATTATTGTTTCTTAAAGGTTCTTTGGGCATGAAATGATGTTCTCTTTTGTGCTTAAGGAGGGATGTTATCCCTGAATTGTTCTGAGAAAATCCCCACCACTGTTTTATTTTGTTCAATTTGTGGTGAATTGGGAATTTCCCACTTCAATGCATTTATGTTTTGTTGGTTAGTAACAGCAATGCCAAGTTGGCAAGGCTGGCAAATTTAGGTCAACCTTTTCAGTTGACTTCAATCCCCTGTGGGATTCTGAGAAGGGAGAGGTTCCCAGGCAGCAGCTGCCACTTAAGCTTTCTCCCCCTTGTTTTGGAAAACCGTTTTCCCCCCTTTGTTTTGAAAACTGTCAAAGGGAATTTGTTACTGCTGGTAAAAAAAACTCCCACCGCCCCTTTTCTTGACTCAGGTTTTCCTCATGGTTTAGAACAAGTCCTCTCTGAGCTCTGTTTTTGGAAGGGTGGTTCTGAGTTGCTCCCCTATTGTGGGGAATGTATTCTGATGTATATTTTGTACTGTCCTGTTTGCAATTTGATTGTTTATTTGTGATTGGTATTACAGGCAAACTGTTTGCACACGCGCTTGATTGAAAAATAAGCTCTTAAGCTTGCTCTATGTTGGAAACTGCAAATTTACCATTGTGTTGTGAATACACTTGTGAATAGCAAATTTTCTGGAGTTTGCTTTATTTACCACACCAGTCAGTTCCTCAAAAAGTAAGAGCAAACTTTGTGTGGGTCTTGCCCATGGTGCTTCATAACTGGTGTCCCTGGTCCTCTGGTCTGAACAAACTTGACATGATCACTTCCACAACCATCATTCATTCAACTCAGGTGCATACTCAGTGACCTAGCTGAGGGCACCCAACTCTAAAATTTGGAGTTACTCAACCATTAGCTTACAATTGTTTGTAGCCTCTCATTCTATAGGCACAACACATGTTACTTCAGCACAGGTTCCTAGGGACTACATGTGATCTATTTAGGTCTTTACGTAACTTTAAGTAAAGACTTAAAACAATTCCAAAAAACGTGAAAATTAAACTAGTTCAGAAGTCTTAATTACTAAGAAGTTATAAACTTCTTATTATTAAAAACCATAACTGTACATATTTGGTATTAAATACTCCATCCACCATAATGTAAACCAGCAATAACTATTAATTACCAGTGAAGTATATTTATTTCTGGAAAAACCAACCTTCAAAATTGTCATTGTGTTCATGGTGGTGCTCACCAAACACCCCTCACACTGTTACATAATTTGAGATTTGGAAATTTGTGTGTTCCCTATGCTGCTTAAGACACTGCGATAGAGGTGATATTCAAAATTTGTTCTTATGCTCTGTGTCATGTCACTTGTAGTAAGAAATCTTATTGGATATTCAGAAACAAAAAAAGTTTCTTGAAATTTGTTCTTCACATAATTTGGACAAGGTTATTTGGATATTCAGAATTTTTTATTTATTTTGGAAATGTTTTTTATTCTTAATCAGAGTTTCCATAGATAATATATTTTATTTATTTAAAAAAAGGTGTTCTTATATGTGCACTGTTATTTGTCCCATGGGAGTCTCTGTATACATTTTACACCATCAAAGCAGTGCAGTTGAAGTCACTCAATGAGAGGCTGGTGCTCCTAAGGGTGGTGTGGAAGAAGTAGCCTTGAACAGAGTGGCCTTGAGTGGAAGTTGTGCCATAACTTTGTGTGAGGAAAGAAACAGATGGTTAAGGCACCTAACCTTGAGAATGACACAATCAATCCATTCCCATTGACACAATATCCATCACTTAGTATATAACCACCAATCCTTTGCGCTTCCGCAAAAATTCCGTCAATTTTTTCTTGAATAACAAGAATCCGCGTCTGAAAATAAAATTAAGAACCCATTAACCTTACTGAAGTTCAACTTTTGTTCACTGGCACTCAAAATACAGGTTTCTATCAATTGAGTTCCTCTTCCAAAAATATTCCCACGCTCTTTAAACAAAGAGACTGGGCACCATGAATGTCTTATACAGTATAATTTTTGAAATGTACCTGCCTACCATGGGCAGGGTTTTCTCAAAATTTTCATTGAAAATTGTATCCCTGGGTACCGCGCGCACCCTTTTTTTCTGCCTTACATTCTGGTGAAAAGGTGTGCTGGTACTGGAGTAAATACAGTACGGTACTTCATAATAATGATCTTTTAATACTCCTCAGGTAGTATGCGTTACATCTTGTGTAATGGAATGGTGCCCATATGTGTCGTTGCGTTTTTGGTCTGTAAGTTCTTGATTTTTCCATGCTTCATGGAAAAATTCTGTCAGTCATGATCTTGATTTTATGCAGTGACGTGTCCTAGCGAGGGTATCCGCCTTGTCTCACGGATTTCACGGAATGGCCTTCGCGGTAATATCACGTTTGAGCAAAAGGATTCTAATGAAGCAGTTGTACTGAACGTGAATATAGAAGATACCGATGCGTTGACTGACAAGGATTATTCAATCGGCCTGTACGAGAATCCCGTGGACTATTCGGTCCGAGATTACTGTAGAAATGCCGGAAAGTTGTAAGAAAAAATTCAGGATTTTTCGTGGTTGAATTCCCTTACAAGTCATTGTTCAATTATTGTTCAGGCTCGTGGATCTCACGAAATTCATGAGTGAACCTGGAAAATTGAAATCCAAAGAAATACGAATATCCCCGGCATTGGAACCAGATATTAATATTATTGGGCTGAATGGAACAATTTGGGGACGCTCCATTCACGTTCGATCAAAAAATGCAGTTGGATGCGGCAGCATCCATGGGGAGGCTCTAGACGGAAGCGATGTACAAACGAAAACCGTCCGAGCAAGATTCATCCATCCTTTGGGAGGATCTGTTTGGTTCCGTACCGTGGAATTTTCAAGTGGACACTCGTTTTCCCTCATCTATGCCAACTTGTATGATGTAACGCGAGTGGGTTCAACAACCCAACACCAGTGGACATTGCATGCAACTGAAGCCAGATTTGCCTCTGAAGGTATTTTTATAAAATGGTATCGTTCATATTTTTGAAATGCTCAACAACTCTCAAACTTTTAGATGCATCTGAAGAAAATTGTCAGAATCTGCCTGAAATCTTCGATCCAACGGACAATCTAGAACATTGCAATTCTGCTGAACCTTCGTCGTGTCCTGTTGGTATGTTGGATCTCGCGCATGGTCTACTCTCGATTGGATCTGCTGATGATGCTGCGATTCCTAAGCAATACGTTAACACTCAACTAGTTGTGCCATCCCTCAATAGCCAAGTGCTTTATTTGATTGTGAAGGACGCAGAATTCCATGAAAACTTTTACGCATGCGCGAAATTGAAGCCATCCTCAGTCCGAAGTGCAACCGCATCTTTCAGTGCAAACGGTGTCTCCGGTCAGTTGAAGTTTCTTCAAGAAAGTCCCTTCGAACCGACGCATCTTCAAACTTCTTTGAATGGCCTGAGTAAATTAGCATCTGGATTCCATATTCATGAGTACCCCGTGCCACCATTGCTCGATAAGGTATGTTTTCTTCATTAAAAAGAAGTATGGTCGGGTTATTTTTCTTGGATTTCTCTGCAGGACGCTAAAGTTTGTAGTGAAACTGGCGGCCATTATAATCCCTTTGTTGTGGATCAATCGAGATCCCCACCACCAGCCTATGGCACTCACGATGAATACGAACTCGGGGATCTGAGTGGAAAACACGGAATTTTACGTGATCAGGAGTCTGTGGAGGGCTTTGTGTGGGACACGATGCTTCCACTGTGGGGCCCATTCTCCATCATCGGACGCTCTGTTGTCATTCATAAAGAAGTTGCCAACGAGCGTTGGGTTTGCTCTACTCTGTTGGACTCCCGGCGTTTGACGAGAGCTGTTGTCAGATTTATGTATCCCTTGGTGGGTACTGTGGAATTCAAGCAGGTGAGAATCTAGGGACCCAATCTGTGCAATGTGAGAGTTCTCACTTGAGTTTTTATCGAAATCTGTTGCTCAGGTTTTACTGTATTTTTATTTTCTTGAAGCATCTCCGTTTGTGTTTGTGTGTATTTTTGAATATGTTGAGGCGCTACAAGTGCTGTAATCCGACCCAAAAGTGAGCTAGTCGAACGAAAAACCATTGACTAACCCAGTCGAACGCTGAACTTACTAGAACGAAGGAAATGTTGAGCAGTAAAAAAGTGGTTCAGCGAATGATTGGCCTCACCAAACTTCTATTACTGAATATATTCCTGTCAGCGACATTTGGAATACATTTTCTCATTGCGACAGTTGAGCTACCATTAATCTTGTTCGATTTATCCTCTTGTAAGAAATTTTTGAAACCAACACTCATGTGAAATGAACAAGAAGGGATATAATCACTTTGACGTGAGCTTTCTTGAAGTGTTTTTGGAAGTGTCACCGTATGCTTCCGCTTTGCGCAGTCTAATACCTTTTCCAAGTGATCCCTAAACTTGCGACATTTTATGAACATTGCATTAATTTTTCTCTTGAAGGCAGCTGACGATCCTGAGGCAGAGACAACGGTGTTCATCGACTCACTGGTGTACAGTGACACTACTGCTTCAGATACCTCAGATCACGGCTGGCGCATTCACGTCAAGCCACCAGCGACATTTCAAGACTCCATAAATTGGCAGAAGCGATGCATGTCACCTGAAGGTCAATTCAATCCTTTTGGAATTGACAAGGAATCTCCGTCTTATTCGTTGTGCAGTGCCTTGCATCCCGAGTACTGCGTACTGGGGGATCTTGTTTCGCGCATGGGAACGCTGAAAATAGCTGGTAGTCAGGAAAAACGTTCGGAAACTCGGGTGTTTTTCACTGACACGTTTCTGCCTTTGGCTGGTCGTCGTAGGATAACGGATCGATCAATCGTGATTTACGGAGATGACCATATGAATCGTGGGGAGCGTCTTGCATGTACAAAGTGAGTAACTCTTCATGAGTTTATTTTTTCAGAAGTGTCTTGAAATATCCCTAGTGATAATTCGAAAACCATAAGTGTCATGATCGGTAAACCACTGTGTTTGTGTAAAACATTCTCAGTATATGACTTTGCTGCACTTTTTCCATTTTCAATTCCTGGCCAGTATCCTTGAAGAAAACTCGTATAAATCTGATATCTTTTAAGACAAGATCAACCGATGTTGTTACGTGTTCGCTGTTCAGCACTTCTGAACCGAGTATCTAATCGTTGGCAGTTCTCCGCAATTTCTTTCATATATGCAAAGTGCAACATATTTTTGAATGAGCTTACTTAACTGCTCCGGCATTTGCAAAAACTTGGAAAACATCAGACTCTTTCCAGAAGAAAGTGCTTTTTTTTGTGAGGGTGTTTGATTTTATCTTACGGAGACATGGGAAACACGTTTGCGGTGCTTCAAATCTCGTGAAAAAATGTACCTGGACGTCAGTTGCCTTCAATTGGTTTTTTTCTGTAGAATGACTCGATCAAAATAAAAATGTGAACCCCGGTTATTCATTCTTCTAAGAATGGCTTCTTGTTTTGTTCTTGAATTCAGGATCTTGCGTGCATTTCGCAACAAAGCTGTCGCATCAAAGTGGAGCACAAATGATTTCTTGAAAAAAATCGTCGGTGGAAGTGTTGAATTCACCCAGGAGTCACCGTATGATCCAACAGTTGTAAGAGTTAGCCTGGGAGGCCTGGACAGACTTGCGAGAGATTATTCCATTCACGAAACCTCGGTTGAGCTTGAAAATGAGTTTCCTTGTCTCACAACGGGTCCCAGCTGGAATCCCTTCAAAGTTTCCGGGGTAAAACTCGAAGGTGAAACAACGATTGATGAGCGTGAAGTCGGTGATTTGAGTGGAAAACACGGAGGCTTGAATGGTTTATCTACCCTGAGGACGTCGTTCAACGACTCAAGTTTATCTCTGTTCGGGAGCACGTCGTTGCTTGGAAGAAGCGTCGTTGTTTATCAACCAAACGAAAAGATGTGGTCGTGTGCGTCGATAGTGTTTGGATATGATCCTTCCGAAGCAGAGCATAGATCAGCAATTGCATCCTTTCATCATCCAGGAGGCTTTGTACGCGGTTATATTCGCTTTGTGAGTGTTTTACCGTGCTTTTAATGGGGAGGGAAATTAGACCATCATGATCGTTTGTAATTTATGCAGCGACAAGTGCGGTACAAGAACGGCTACGAAAGTGAGACTTACATCGAAGTCAACTTGCAACACAATGGTGATGATCCGAATAAGGAATCGCGTGGACACAATTGGGCTGTTTTTAATGCTCGAGTGGGAGCAGATGCGTCTGTGAAATATCAGCCTGCCCGGTGTTCAGCAGCTGGGAATCGATGGAGTCCAGTTTTTGTCAGCACCTATGATGTGAGATTTTTTCTTTTGAATCTGATTGAAGGAATCGGATGCAGAGTAAGAGTAATTATTCTTTTTGTGTTGACAGCGTGAGGCGTATGATCGGGATTGTGGCCGGAATTTGCCACTGCGATGTGAAGCTGGGGATATGTCTGGGAAGCTAGGACCGATATCGATTGGTGGACGCGATGGTCATTTCGTTCTCTCGGATACGCATTATCCTTTGTGTGAGGTTGCTCGTGATACTATGCGAGGATTGGTTCATAGGTGTTGAGACTTTTTGAATTACTGTAGATCCAACGGGGTTTCAGTAATTGAAAAAAATTATATTCGTATGACCCCATCATTTGACAATTCTTCATTGCTGTTCGACATATTTTTTTAAAAGTCTCATAACTTATGAACCATGGTATTTCTGCCGTGGAGGCACTGAAATTTAATCGATTTTACCTCGGGACTGCCCCAAGATTTGGAGACGTTGTCCAAATTCCTAGAAAAATGGGAAAATTGTATTTTTAAAAATTTTTTGTGATGATTTCATACGAGAGAAATTGCTTTTTGTTTTGTTCAGTTCTCATTTATTCTTTAGGAAAATTCAAAAATGGTTAATTGGATAGGAATCAAATGTGTAATTATTTTAATGCACTTCAACCTGAGAAACGTGGTATTGCAAATTCAAAAATTGAGCAATGATGTATCTGTCCCATGTGAAACAATTTGAAGTACAATTTTCTTGATTTATTGCAAAAAAAAATTGCTAGTATCAGGAAAATGGTACTCGCAATTGTTGGGTACTCTTTTTTTTTCAAGATAAGCAGATTCAGTGCTGCATCGTTCAAGATGCTTAATTGAAATCTCTGTCATGAAATGATGAGGGTCAATTGGTACGGCTAAGGCATTTTCATGAATCTTCACTCATATCTGTTTGCCGATTGTTCAATGGATTCAGTTTCAGTGATGATTCTTGATATCTGAAGTAATTATGGACCCGTTACTCCTGTTTTCCAGTTGGTAGAGACAATGGTATGACAGCCAAGTCGTTGGTTATCTTTGACGAGGACGGATCTTCGTTGCGTTATGCTTGTGCAAATATCGAACCCGATGACGACATCGTACGCACGGTTGTTGTGCAGAAAACGTCTCGTTTCTCTTTTGCCGAGTTCATGAAAGAGGTCCGTGCTATTCTGGGGGCTCCACCATGGATGGTGGTGCTGAATATGGGCGAATCAAAAGACTCGCATTCCGGCGACTGCGTCCAGCTTCTTATTCATTTTCTAGGTGAGAATTTCGTATGTACGATTTTATTTTCTAAGTCTGCTTGCGTAGTGTTTTATGCTTCGCGTCGTCGATGTGAAATACGTTATGTGATTGAGCTGGAAAACAATTATTGTTTCAGAGAAGCCCTTCTTTGGCGCAAGGGAAAAAATTTAGCCCTGTTCGAAGTTTTTATTTTATTTTTTTGCGAAAGTCACCCTGCAAGCTTTTTGCTCTTCACTCAAAAGATGAAGCGCCGATCTCGCAAATTTTTTGGTGTACTCCAGCTTTCCCAGCAGAATCCTCGAATTTAAGATGGCATCAATTGTTCAATAATTCCCCCATTTTCATTTATAGCCGCCTCTTGAAATGAAAATTCGGCGGATGTAAATGAAATTTGCGGAGATTACCTTTGAAGACCCGGAGGCAACCATCCGGAATTAATGCTGTGTCTATTCAAAGAATTCTGAAGGAAAAGCTGCGCCAAACCAAAAAAATTGCGAGATGAGCGTCTGATCTTTTGTCGGTTTTGTGTGCAAAGCAGAGAGCTGCCAGGGTGATGTTCCAAAATTATATGAAAAATAATAAAATACATTGCTTCGAACAGGGCTGAATTTTTCTTCCTTGAGACAAAGAATGATTTTTCTGAACAATAATTGTTTTTCAGTACAGTCACATGATGTTTCAATTTACATCTCGAGAACTTTTTTCAGATTTCTTGGGTTTATTCTACTGTACTCGAGGATTCAAATAATTATCTGATTTTTATGATGGGCTGTTGTTGCGGATTTATAAGTGGGAATTCTGTAATATTTAATGAAATCAGGCTGGATTTTCATCTCTACCTGCTTGAGTTTCTTTCAAATTGACCCGTTGGATATTCCACAGACATAAGTTCTGCTATATTGTAAGTGAAATTTAAATATTTTCCGAAGGTGTTGGTGCTTTTTTTCATACTTGAGCCAGATTTCTCTGGGTCACACGTAGGTGGCAAAAATGTTCGCACAGCTGTCTGCACGTTCCTTACTTTGCTTTTAAAATCCCTTTAAAAAGCTCATTTTTATTAAACGCGTAATTGTTGGTCCAGTTTCAATGACGTATGATCCATTCGGAACGTTATACTGTATTTAATAATGATCACTCCCAAGTTCTGATCTTCCTCGTAGAACGTTAGCAAAGATGAATGGTCGTCTTAAACATACCAGACAAGAGAGAATGTGCTGTAAATTGTAACTGAAGCCTATTCATGAACTGATGAGAGTTTGACGAGGAATTGGATTCGAATACCTTCCCTTGTTTTCCTGGAAGTTCCTGTTTTTTACCCCCTCTTGAATCAACGATTTCATATCTCTCTTTCGAAAAGGTCCATTTGCGCAGAGGCTCTCGCAAGATATGGCGCACCTTCAAGCCGGGGGTTCCTTGCCGTCGCCGACAATGTCAATCCCTGGATTGCCAATCCACCCGAAAAGATCTTTGTCTTTCAAGCCCTGTTCTCAAGCTTTGACGAGAGTGCCGGAAAATGACGACTTCTTTGATCAAAGTAATGTGGGTAACAGTGGGAAACCCGGTTTGTTTGATGCTGCTCTTGTAATCGGACTCGTGATGTTTTCACGCGTGTTGGCGTGATGCTTTTTTTATTTTCCCGACCGTTTCGAAGAAAGGGAAATAATATTTTGACTACGTTTTGCACGATGAATCTTGCCGAAATATGTTACCGGGAAGCTTTTAAGCTGCGTTTGTGATAGGTTTTGTGACCTCAGTAAGTGCGGAAGACGGTGTTGCTCATGACTGTGTCTTCTGGACTTGGAAGTTGCAAGCTTCTTATACTCGTGGAAATCTCTGGTGATTGGAGGAATTTTTGTCCATTTTTACAATTCGTAGAAAATCGTGACAAAATTAAATACGCGTCATATGAGGGGTCGAACAAAAATTCTCGCGGTAGAAATTGAAACGGGATGTGATTGAGCTGTAAAATATTATAAAACATTCTTCGGCACAAGGAAAAAAAATCAGCCTTTTGCCATATTTTTGTTAATTTTTTTGCAGAAGTAACCCCGGCAGCAGTCCGCTCTTCACTCAAAGTATGAGGCACCTTTCTCGTAGATTTGTATTTGTAGCTCAGCTTCTTCAGAATTCTTGAATCGAAATAACATTAATTCAAAGGGTCCTTTCCAAGTCTAACCAAGTAATTTCCGCCATTTTCATTAACTGCTGCCACATCCTCATTCCAAGTTGTGGCTGTAGAAAAAAATGGCGGCTACCCTTGGAATTAATGCCGTATAAATTTTAAAAATTCCGAAGGAAAAGTTGAGGTCACCCAAAAAATCTTCGAGATGGACGCCTCATTTTTCGAGTGAAGAGCAAAAAGCTGCCAGATTGACTTTTGCAAAAGTTTCTGAAAAAAATATGTCTAACAGGACTGATTTTTTTTTCGTGTGGCGCAGTTTTTTTTCACAATACCCTGTAATTGTTTTTGAGTTCAATCGTATGCCGTCTTTTAAATGCTCGATATACATTCGATAATGAAAACTTTCACATTGTTTCAGGCTTATTACGTCGATATGTATAGAAAAGTGCTGGCGCAAAATTGAAGTGGAATCGCGTGACGAGGTAATTTTCGGAAAATGGCCTCGAAGAAGTTGCCGAGAAGACACACCTCGTGGGCTGATGAAATGGAAGAATTGGAGAGTGTTGAAAACTCTGCTCCTTCACCTGTTGCATGTAAGAAGATTTCCAGAAAAGATCGCGTGAAGAAGGAAATCAAGATGGAACCGTCTTCCGATTTCGTCGGCGATGAAGAAGACCGGAAACCGGTCGTAGGAAACATCCGCGTGTCGATCAATTCGGGAAACGAAACCGAGGTGTCATCTGGTGTGAAGTTCGAGGAAGACGAGAATCGGAAACCCGCTGAAGTCGTTGTCCGAAACACGAGGTCTTCCTCGAGAAGAATAAACATGGATGACGAGGACCGGAAGTCGCAGGGAAAGACACCGGGATCTCGTCTTGAACACGAACCCCGGAAGCGTCCCCACGAGCGTTCGAGGGCTGCTTTCAAATCGACTCCTACGAAAAAAGAAAAAGGCAAACTATCCTCGGCTTCGTCGATGGACGACATGAGCAGCAACAACTCGGACATGCTCAGTCCACGCCAAAAGGCCCGGAAATTGCAGCCACGATTCCGGTCGCGCAATTTTTCGCAGATTTCCAACTATAGTTCCTCGTCGCAAGACTCGAGTGGCACGTCGACGAGGAATAATTTGTGGAGCGTCAACAAACATCCGGCCGACTGTGATCTTTCTGCGGCTCGCACGCGTTTTTATCACACTGTGATTCCGGATGATCCGGACAACCGTGAGGAAGATCCTGACGTTTTGGTCAGGAGACAAAAGCAAATCGATTATGGCAAGAATACGCTGGCTTACGAGAGGTGAATAGCGATATTTGAGAAAAAAGCCCTTTTATTTTTCTTGTGCTGTTAGATCTTGTCAGCAACAATTTTCTCTGTACATTACTTTACAATTGTTGTAGGACCCTTGGTTAGCAAACTTGGTGGGCTTCAGACAAAAATTTCTTGGTAAAATTTGATTTTCCCTTGTACTTCCATGGAGAACCAATTAATCAAGTTCTGGTACTGAAGATAAAATTGAAAATGTAATAGAAAAAATTCGGGACAAGCATCTAATCAGAATAAGTCACTGTAGAGTTCTAAGGGTGTTCACAATGTTTTGTAGGGTTGGATGGAAGTACTGCACTGTATGAATAATGAAATAACTGTCAAAAAGCCTCACATCCAGAAAAACATTCATATATGAGTAGGATAACTGTCACCAGGAAATGAAATGTCGATTTTACAGTGCTGTTGATGAAGAACATAGTCAGCATTTGAAGTTTGAGTAGTGAAAAAAACCCAAGAAAATATGTTTGAAAGTTGATTTGTCTACGGCTTCTTTCATTTATTCAATTGATTCCAATCAAACAATTGAACATCTAAGGCCGCATCCTCATTTAATCGCTTTATGGTAAACAACCTTTAAAAATGCTGTGAAAGCCCTTGGTCTGCCTAATATTTTTTCTACTTGAATTGTCCATTGAAAATGCAGTTAGATTATACTGTACCCGGAAATTAAGTGTTATAACCAAATTCAAGAATTACTGCCGAGAGATGAATTTTTCTTTGAGGACAAAAGTTAGTCAACTGAGGATCCTCTGTTCAAACACATTTTTGGTCCCATAGGGGGGTAGATGTCCCATAGGTAGGGTAGTATACCCCCTATGGGACAACGAGGAAATCCGCTCCATAACACATTTTTTCTGCTCCCTTGAATCTTTTAGAGTGAGTCCAATTGCAATAGACATTGCTTCTTAGTCATGGGTAATGATTTTTTCATAGGAACCTCAATTTAGTGCCATAAATTGTCCTGGCACATTTTGGGATATTAATTTGAGAGTATTGTACGAGAAGGTTAGTTTTAGTTCAGGATTCCAAGTGTTATTATGCCTTTGAGCGTTTTAAAAGAAAGAAAGCAACAGGAAAGAATTTTAAGCTCAAATATACTTTTTTATATTGTGCGGTATTTTAGTATAATCATTAAGACAGGATGTATCAAGATTTTGGCGCATTTTGCGTTGAGTAAAAGTGCAGAACTGTTTCTTGAAGGTCTATTTGAGTTTTATATCATGTGTAGTATATAGCTATTGTATTGTAGATAATTTTATATCTCGCAGGAATCACCATTCCAAGAAAGCTCCCACTTCATCGATAAGATTCTCAGTAAAGGAAATCGCATGCAAAAATAAGAATACTCTTCTGGTAAAGGCGTTAATTTCTTAGATATTGGCCCAGTTTTTCATCCATGACAAGACATTTATTTGTGCCATTGAGTGAGTTTGCTTTGAATCGGGGTTTCTGTCAAGAACTGAATAGAGAGACTAGAGGGATATTTATCTGAAAGAAAAGTGTGGCACTAACAGGGATGGCAATGAATCAAGGGTTGACTGTGGTTTAATGTGGCTTCAAATTTGCGTGATCCGCACGCAGAATGCTTCAGAACTTCTTGTAAAGTTATCGTGAACATTCGCGAAATCGGTCGTTCATGCATGAAAAATGCATCTTTCCTTAGCTTGGGTTTCGATGCTGTACCGCATACCGTACATATTGACTGGTTTTAAATATTTCATTGAAAAGATACTAAGCACGTTCACTCACGTCTTCGGGTCCCAATCAAAGTGATTTTATTCGAAAGATCTAACATTTACTGTATTTTCTGGATTTATTTTCCCAATAACAGATATATTTCGAAAGTCGACAAAGATGTGCGAACAGCGGACATGCCGTGGACGCCCAACAAGTATCAGAAAACATCCCGTCGATCGTTCGACTCGCAAATAAAGCTCTGGAAGATCGCTCTTCACGCGTGGGACCGAGAAGCCGAAGACGACAGTGTTAAGTGAACGCCGAGACTCAAGTTGTATTACAAGGTTATGCCTGTTATTATTATTTGAATATTTTGTGAAGAATGCGAGGTAGAAGAATCCGTTTTTGCTACGCTATCGTATATTGTACATCTTTTGTGGGTTTTTTCTAAGTGTTTTTTTTATATCCCGGAGAACGTATCGGATGAAATTTCGGAGATTTCAGCGTAATTTGGTACCCGGAATTTTTGGTTTATCGTATTCCTCCTTTTATGCGTGTGAATTTTCCTGATCCTCGGGCTGTTGTTTTAATGGTTTCAGGTTATTCCGCGGTCTCGTCAATGAATTTTCTTTTGTGCTAGTAAAACCGAATCTCGCAAAATTCAGTTGCTGTTCGAAAAGCGAATGTTCCTTCTGTGATTCTGTATAATTCAGCTTTAACAAGACAGCTTTCACGGGTGATTTTCCGAAAGCGTTGCGGAGTGATTGGCTCCTTCGAAACCCTAGTGTTCGAGGATTTCTCGTGGACATTATTGGTGTTTTGTACGAAAGTGGTGGAGAAGGGGGGGGATTAATCCGTGAATCTGTTGAAGCTATTCAGCGGTGAGCTATTTTCTTATTTTTAATCATGGAAATTATTAAATTACCCGCGGGTTTGAATGATGATCATGTTTTTTTTCAATCTACCGTATTTATTCCAGTAGCGCATGCATCTTTTCCCCAAAATTCGGAGAGAAAAAAGCGGTCGAATATACATTTTTAATAATTTCGTTAAAAGGTTTCAGAAGTTCAGGTGTGCATTGTACTTTATTCTAATTGGAAGTTTTCAATCAATTTCTTGAGAATAACGTACCTATCTAGAAACGATGGAAATGGTTTGAATTCTGGTTCAATGTATAGAGTAGGTGAGTAGGGTACCAATACTACCCTAGTTGAAACCTGATGAAATGCTAATGAGCAAAGGTCTGGCAAAATTCCTGAATTTTTTGTATTCGATTTTTTTTACAAGGGATAATTGAGACTTTGGATGCGAATTTTGATAATTACTTGTCAAAGAAGTACAATATTATTGATTTTGATCCGCTTTTTTTAAGGACGAATTTCAGAGGAGGTGTCTGAAAATTTAGCATGTTCGCATTTTAAAATGAATTCTTATTTGAATTTACTCTTATTTGAATTAAAACTGTATTTCAGCCATATTTCGGGGGAGGTACTGCTTTTTAAAAAGAAGTGTTCGCTCATCGCTGGAGGTTTATCCGAGTTTCTACAGAAACAATTCTTGAAAATGTAGTTTGATCTTTTTCGATTGAATATATCCGCGATATTTCGGAGGAACTACTGTACACGAAAAAAAGATTGTTGTAACGTAATTCTAGTTCTGAAAATATATTTCTATATTTTGTTTTGTTTTCAAAGAGTTTTCTGTATAATTTTGTTTCAGCATTCGGTCTTCAGGAGAACAGTACCTGTGAAATTTGTGAGCAACGAAACCCAGACGTCGAGGATTGGAATCGTGAAGAAGCTACAGCCTCGTTTCGACCTGTGCGTGGACGACATCATCACGCTGTGTCCAGCAGTAGTTGCCGCCCTCATTGAAGGTCATCTGAGGCCTCATTTGGTCATCCATCCTGACGCCCTTGCCGAGTTTGATGGGATCAACACCCGGGAACCCAATTGTGTTGTGTTCTGGGTGATGCGGCGCATCACTTGTACGAAAACCTGAGTACCGCATTTCGCGTTTTGATGGGTTCCGAGGAAAAGTTTCTGTTCTGTTTGGGAAAAAGGTGAGTTTGCTTTTCGAGTGTGAAAAGTGAAAAAATCATTTGAGTGTTACAGTCAAGCCACTCTCGGCGACCGCAAAAATAATATATATATTTTTTTTCAAACAAATAACTCCTAATGATTATAGCATTGGAAATTCCGTTAAAACGACATCTGTCAAAATTCACGTATTAACTGGAGTACCACGCGCCCTCACGTAAGGCGTCCACCAGGTTTTTCCAGTCAAAATTTGTTGTGAAATGTCATACCCTATACTGTAGTAAGACGCACACCCAATTTTTTAGTGACTGTGATAGTAAAATATTAAAAAAAAAATTCAAAATTTAATTTCGACTTGACTTGATTTTGAATGTAAATTTTTTTCGATTATTTCCATTAAAAAGATGATTTATCTTTAAAACGTTGTTCCATCAAATAGGTCCGATATATCCCCATAAAATCGGATGCAGTTTAATGCAAAACAAACTTTTTTCAATAAAAAAATGCACATCATGATATTTTCCTAGAAATTGTTGAGGCACATTTGAGAATTTTTAAATGGGTCTTTTTTTAAATGAAGAGTACAGTAATCCCAATAAGAATGAATCTGCCTTTGAATCAAAGAACAAATGGATGCGCTTGAATAAATGACTCTGGAAGGAGGTACGTTTTTGCCTGACACTTGTATTATTTTATAATTCAAGATCAGCCCATTATTAGGAAATCACGCCGCAAGGTAGTTTCAAAATAGGAGGGAGTTTTTCAAAGTCTCCGTTTGAATTTCATGAAAGAGGGTTAGAAATAATGATAATTTTTCGATACATGTGTTGCAGAAGAACTTCACAATGTTTATTAAACATTTCCCACGAAAGTTCATCCGTTTAGAAGACTATAGATTTCGACGTTTAGTGAAGTGTTCGTCAGGACCTTGAAAGTTTGTTATAACGAGATTTTACTGTAATAACTTGCGTTTAGTAAGGTCATTCGATTGCATTTTGAATGTGACGATTTTGTCCTGCAACAGCAAAAATGTAATCAAAGAAGGTACATTATTTTTTCTAGGTCTTCAACGCAATCATATGAGGAGTAACATTTGGAAATTAATCCCATTACGAAGCAGTTTAATAGAATTATATTTGGGTTCACATTCCACTTTCAACATTCATTGTTCTTAACATTTTTGAATTGCAATATTTTAGTCAGCTTTTTCATTTTATTTTTGCTCGCAAAAAATAAAAGGATGAAAAAAAGTTCTCATGTGGTCGTGCTAATGAATAGGATTGTTTTCCTCCTGAGGAACGAACGATTCGACTGTAGTGAATCGCCCATTATTTGTTCATGACATTATGTAAAAAGATATGAGAAGCAAAGTTTTCTTCTTTCTGTACCAGTTTTGATTGGGAAATTTTATTAAAAGCTCAAAAATCGCACAGAAACGAATTTGAGTTCAACGGTGGACATTGAAATGTTCACGGAAATGTAATGCATATAGTTTCCAGATTTTCTCTCGAGAGCTTCTTTTACGAAAGAAACAAGTTTTCTTTTTCAGAAGTTACTGTACTGCAAAGTAAAAAGCTAGGTTTCGCTTAATCGTAATGAATTTTTTGTTCGATCGATGTTTGCAGAAAATTCTGGCAAGAAGACGGTGAGCTGACTTCGGGCGTGGGACCATTTGCAGTAGGACTCGAGTATGCGTGTGGTGTGAGATACGGAAGTGATAGAGAAACCATCGGAATCCTATTTCCTGGAAGGCGGGAAACGGCTCGGGATGAAACCCGAGGAAGTTGTGATGATCGAGGATGATATTGAAAGCGATGAAGTCGGGGATGATGGGAATACTTGTCCGAACGGGAAAGTATTGTCCGACGGACGATAATCACCGTGTGAAGCCCGATGCCGTTTTGGGCTATCTTTGTGCTATTATTGACGAATTTTTGGGTTAAACCCCTCGTTGTGTTGAAAAGACTTCACGTTGTTCGAGTGTGGTTTTAGTCATTATTTCTCGCGTATATATCGACTTGTTTCGAGAGCGTCGGAATTTTTTTGGAAGTGAAACTCGATTGATGGAAACCCGCATTTTGAGTGCCAGTGAACAAAATTTGAACTTCAGTAAGGTTAATGGATTTTTAATTTTTTTTTTCAGACTCGAATTCTTTTTATTCAAGGAAAAATTTACAGAATTTCTGTGGAAGTGCGAAGGATTGGTGGTTATTTATTAAGTGATCGACGTTGTGTCAATTGATTGATTGTGTCATTCTTAAGGTCTTAGCCATCTGTTTCTTTTCAAGGCTTCGTGTTGCATGTCCAAAACTTTATCGAAAACAAGAGTGGTGGCCCTTAACGTACCACCAGGGTTTGCATGTTTCATTTTATTTTTTTGGAAGGAAGTAACCCACCTCTCGTGCAGTGACATCTACTAGATGATGAAAAAAGCTTGTCAAATTTGATTGGCGGCCATCAGTTTACATCGTGGGGGAGGGTTTTCAACATTATTCTGAAGACTTTCTATGTATTTGTTGTTTTTTGAACCAAAACCCTGCACATGAGACAAGTGTGACCTTCATGGTGAAGCTATAAACCTGTGATCCTGATTGATGAGGAAGTCAAACTTCCTGCATATTTTTTAAAAATGTTGATGTCCAGGTGTGGACGGGCACCACCAACAATGACTTTATGGTTGTAGTTTATTATTTTATTGCAGGAATTTGAAGCAGTGTTGAAGTACTGCACAGTATTTACTTGAGTACCATGAAACCTTGAGTATGATGCGCACCCAGGTTTTTCAGTCTAAAGTTTTGGATCAAATTATCTCCTTGAGGAAGACCTGAGCACCGCATTTTTAGTGACTATAAATCTGCAATATTTAAAGAATAAACGCACCCAAATTTGAATTTGTTTATGAACAGAACCTGAATTCAAACAATTCTTGATTGTTTGAATAAAAATAGGATTTAAGATGAAATCGGTTCAAAATTCCCCATTACAATCAAGTATAATGCAATTCTAAAACTTCTTGTGAAATGTATACCCACCTATGATGCACCGCCGTCTTTCCTCTCAATTTTGATTTTAAAAAAAGGTGTGCTTGGTACTTGAGTAAATACTGTACAGTATAGCATATTTGTACTAGGGTCAAAGTTATTATAGATGGACTCTTTCTTCAACAAAATTCAAGGGGCCATAAAATAAAGCATTATACAGAGAATATTGTTGTTGACAAGATCAGGGTAAAGAGGGTCAGCATGTATCACCTGTGGAATGATGTCTCCAGCTTTCCCTTGTCCACCACTTGTTGTAAAAGGCATTTTCAAGCTGTTCGTCATTTGATTTTTCAGTTGAATCTCCGCTTTATTAGTGCTTTATTAGCCGTTTAAAAAATATCAATCAGCATGAGTACTTCGGACAAAGCCGATAGCAAGACAATTGAATCCTTGCAGAATCTCGCCCACCGACTCCGAATCTTGTCAATTGATGCGACTAACAAAAGCAATTCTGGGTGAGTGATTTTACACCTACAAATTATTTTTCAATCTTTTCACGTGTTTCTCATTGAAACAGGCATCCGACGTCATGTTGCTCAATGGCCGAAATTGTTTCGGTTCTTTTCTTCAACGAAATGCGCTACAAGTTGACTGCGCCCAAGGATCCTGCGAACGATCGATTCATCCTGTCTAAAGGTCATGCTGCTCCGATCCTGTACGCTGGTAAGTTCTGTTTTTAATTTTGAAGTGAAATGGAAGTTCGGATCATTTCAATGTATGATTTTTATGTACTGTACTGTCCTAGCTTGGGCGGAAGCTGGTCTTTTCCCTGTTTCGGACCTGGACAACCTTCGCAAGTTGGACTCGGATCTTGAGGGACATCCGACTCCGAGGCTGAACTTCGTGGATGTAGCGACTGGATCCCTCGGGCAAGGATTGGGTGTAGCTGCGGGAATGGCGTATGTCGGGAAGTACTTGGACTCGGCGGATTACCGGTGAGTTGAAAAAGCTAGGCTGGGCTGTGGTTTCCGTGATACTGTACATTGAATGTGAGGAGTCGTATTTTCGAGATTTTCAAATATTTTAGTTCAATCTGGGACTACGCATGCGCTAGACCAATGTTCCCCAACCCGTGGTCCGCGCTGTTGTTCCGCAGAATTTTTTTTTGCCGATCTGCAGGAAATTTTCTTCAGCGTAATAAATGTATCAAAATTAGCAATGAAGTATGTTATCTCTATCTAGAATTTTGGAAAGAAAATGGCAGTTGAAATTATTTGATGTAAAATAAAAGTTGACTTTTCTCATAATCATACTTCAGACACATTTTTTGCCTGCTGAAATATATTATTTTAATTTTTCATTCTGAGAAACATTTCTTAAAACCCAGCTTGGAGACATTCCACTGTAGCTGCTTCATTGGTTCTTGACTTCATGTTTGCGAAAATGCAGAACTAAGAACTTATAGACGGTACTTCAGAAAGTTTTTTGTTTTGAACTCAGACGTTTTTAAAATACTTTGAAAAGGTCAGATGACCTTTAAACGGCCAGACGTTTGAAAAAATACCTTTAAGCGGCCAGAGCGGGCCCGAAAAAGGTTGGGGAACAATACAATATACAATACACTGGGGCCCCGAGATGCGGACTTGAATGATGCGTAGATCTTATTGACCCAGAACGTCCGCATGTTGGATCGCTTCTCTCGAAGGCTTCAATGGAAATGTATTCAATTTGTTTTCTATAAGTTTAATAAAATACATTATTTTGTCTCAAGATACAATAAGTTAGATAGCAGTTCGTGAGAAAGCAAGAAGAATTACAGGAACTTGTAATTAGTGATATCCTGGGCCTTAAATTGCCTTTTAAATGAGTTGAGAGGGTGCAAAAGTTGGAGGCAAGGGTTCATTTGCCCAATTCGTCTTTCAATTCCTTTCGAATCGCGTATAGCTACATTTTTATTGCGTTTCTCTTTCAAGTGTAAATGAAAAAATAGCCGAAATGTCTCCAGAAAATTCGAGTCATGCAGATTTTATGCGGAAAACATGCTTTGTTCATATGGGAATTCAGGTAGGGTCCTGAGAAAAACTCGACTCGAGGAGTTTTGATTTATGGATGTTCAATTTCATATCTACTGTCTTTTAATTTTCATGTCCGTAGCACTTACTGTTTAATTGGCGATGGAGAAGCAGCCGAAGGATCCATTTGGGAAGCCCTCAACTTTGCGTCCTATTACCAACTGGACAACCTCGTGGCCATCTTCGACGTCAACCGTCTCGGTCAATCAGATCCCACTTCTTTGGGCCATGACATGAACACGTACAAGAACCGTTTGGAGAGTTTTGGATTCCATGCCCTCGTGGTTGACGGACACAACATTCAAGAACTTCTCGACGCCCTTGCGGAAGCTAAAAAGACGAGTGGGAAACCCACGGCCATTCTAGCCTTCTGTAAGTTCCCCTTTATGTAAGGCCCTTAACTCCTAGAGCTCCCCACCGTGCCCTTTGGGGACCCATCGTTACCAGGTCGACGCTAGCTTCATTAACTAACAACGAAGAAAAATTGAGTACTAAATTTATTCTGTTCATACAGTCACAACGCATTTTTTATTATAACCAGTTTGTGATCCCAGCAGTTTCTTCCGAGGAACATTTTTATACTGTACTGAAATAATTTCGGTTTAGTGAATTTTTTTTCCACTGAAATCTCATATCGAATTTTTTGCCCTGTACAGTGGGCCATGTGCGGATTATTTATTCATGCAGTAAAATCTCGTTACAACAAACTTGTGGGGACTTCAGAAAAAGTTTTTTGTAACGAATAATTTGTTATAACAAGATTTTGAAAATTATTCACTTAATTGATGATTTTCTTCAAATTAGACCTGCATCTTTCATTTGTAGCCTTTTGAGGTGTTATTCAATGGTTAAAAATTTGTGATCTTCAAAAATAAATGTAATTGTTAATGAAAAAACAGATACTCTGAATCACAGTTAAATACTAGCACACTTTCTTGACTAGAATTTTTTTTTAGAAATTCAAAGACATTCAAGGGGAAATACATTCCGGGAATTGAGGATCTCGAGGGGTGGCACGGGAAACCCCTGGGTAGCAATGGTCCAGCTGCGATCGAAGTAATTGATTGTTGCTTCTTTTTAACTCATGATTGCCCTGTTCATACAGTCACAACGCATTTTTCATTATAACCAGTTTGTGATCCCAGCAGTTTCTTCCGAGGAACATTTTTATACTGTACTGAAATAATTTCGGTTTAGTGAATTATTTTTCCGCTGAAATCTCATATCGAATTTTTTGCCCTGTACAGTGGGCCATGTGCGGATTATTTATTCATGCTAGTAAAAAGGAAAAATCGAAGTTCTGCCTCAGCAAAATTTCTTCGGAAAAAAAGGTTTCCAAAAAGAAGACTTAGTACAGTAGTGTATTGCAAAAAATTCACAGCATGATATTTTTCTTGGAATTTATTAGGATCATTTCAGAATTTTGAAATGTTTTTTTTTTTTATTAGGTGAAAAGTACAGTATGTCGAAAAGAAGATACCTCTTTTCAAAGAAATTGTGGACTTGCTTGAATAAATGACTTTTATTAGGTTAGGAAATTAGGTTTAATTAATAAGAAGGAGGTACTTCTCATACCTGACTTTTATAACATTTTGTATTTCAAGAATGTTAGCACACTGGAGTATCAAAGAATTTGAAGCAAGGTAGATTCAAAATGAGGAGTTTATTTGAAAATTTTCCATTGAATTTCATTAAAGCGAACGGAGAATAATTATGTCTTCAATATACATGTTGCATAAGTAGTTTTCAATTTTTATCACCCGTGTCTCCTAAAATTTGACCCATACAGCATGTTTTCAAAACTCTTAATCTTGCTACAGCGGACTTTTCGTTACGACGATTTTTTTCAGGTCCCTGAGAGTTTTTTTAAACAAGATTTGACCGTGGAGTCTAACCTCAAAAAGCCGCCACCATTCATTTGTGAGGTTTAAAGGGGAAGCAAATTTATAAAAAAAAAGAGAAGCTGAAATGTTTTAAAAATTAGGTTTAATAAGAAATGAAATTCTTATTTTTTCTAGAAAACAATCAATATAGCCGTGGGATTCGTAAATTATACTGTGTCTAGATGATGTTCGCAAGCATTAAATTATGTCGTCTTTGTGGTCGTCTGTTTATTATTATTATTTTTTATTGGGATTTCTCGCAGAAACTTTAATCCTCCAAGTGGGCTATAAAAAAAAATTAATTGGCAGGAGAATAATTGAGTTTTCAATCAATTGGGGAGATGGCGTTTTAACAGGGATTCCGATGCTATTATCATTAGGAATGATTTATTTTTCAAAATAAATTGGCGGTTGCCGAGGATGGCGGCGTCTTGACGTGATTTTGACTAGTTTTGTAAAATTCGCAGGCGATTCAAAAGCTGATTACGGATCTTGACGTGAAGCCTGTTCCTGCGGCTCCAACCGAAAGTAACCTGGTTCCTGTGGATGCATCCAGTATCAAATTGTCTGATCCTCCGGCGTACACGAAGGGAGATAAAGTGGCGACGAGAGTTGCTTACGGAACTGCGTTGGTCAAGTTGAACAGCGATCGTGTCATTGCATTGGACTGCGATGTCAAGAACTCGACCAACTCGGAGAAGTTGCGCAAGGTATGTATGTGTTTGTGTGTTTGTTGTACGAGTATTCCTTGCACTTTTTTCATCTCTATGTTTGTGACTTGTATTTGTAGGCGTTTTTGCTCTTGAAAGGCAGGCACTTTTTTTTGTAATTCGTTGAATCTTTCGGACAGTCGAGTGCTCGACATCATCTTTGCACGATTTTGAATGGATTCCTTCATGTGCATTACAAGATGAACAAGAGGTCTTCCAGATGAAACTATGTTGTGGCTTTTCAAATTAGTAACCTTCCACTTATTGCTTTGAGAATTGCGTGGCAAGAGGAGTTACTGCACATGATTGTTAGTCCTGATCTGACAAAAAAAAAAAAAAAAAAAAACTCATTGACTATTTTGTTTGGTTCCTTGAAATTCCACTTGGACAGGTTCCCTTATATTTGAAGGAATTGTCTACCTATGTGTGTTTTGCAGATTGACAAATTGCGCCACATCGAATGCTTCATCGCCGAGCAGAACATGGTCGGGGTTGGGATCGGGGTCGGGTGCCGACACCGGGCCATTCCGTTTTGTTCCACGTTCGCCACGTTTTTCACGCGAGCCTTTGACCAGATCCGCATGGGCGCCATTTCCCAGAGCAACCTCAAGTTCGTGGGCTCACACGCCGGCGTGAGCATTGGAGAAGATGGCCCGTCGCAGATGGGCCTGGAAGACCTGGCCATGTTCCGCACGGTTCCCAACTGCACCGTCTTCTACCCGTCGGATGCCGTGTCTACGGAGAGAGCCGTTGAGATCGCGGCTCGTTTGCCTGACATGTGCTTCATTCGAACGTCGCGACCGAATTCCACTGTCATCTACGACAACGACGAATCCTTTGAGGTACGAGGGTTGGTTCATAAGTTTTGGGACTTCAGAAATAGATCCGTCGGAGTTTCAATAATTGAAACTCCGATGGTTGAAATGATTGAGACTCTGATAATTCATTAATCTCCAACCTGTGAAGTGGGTGGAGAACTCTGGTGGGAACTGTCGAGTTTTTACTCGTGATCATGCATTAAATTGAGAAATTCATTTTTAAAATCCAAAAACATCCTGGAGCATCACAAACAGCATGCGCTATATCATATTTTTTCTGTTTATAGTCATGCCTTTTCTAGAAAATAACCGAGGCCGCGCCCCGGACAACCCTTGTATACATGATTTTTGAAATTTTTTTTTTGAAATTGCATTATAGGTCGGCAAAGCGAAAGTTGTCAAGAAGTCAGACGATGATAAGGTGTTGGTGATTGGAGCTTGCGTGACTCTTGAGGAAGCTTTAACTGCCTCTAAGCAACTGGCCGAAGAAGGGGTGAACATCAGGATTATGGATCCGTTTACGATCAAGCCGATTGACCGCGAAGGCATCATCGCCAACGCTCAAGAATGTGGCGGGAAAATCATCACTGTCGAGGATCATTATCCTGAAGGTAATACAGTGATACGGTAGAATCTAGTTGGAACGAAGCCATCGGGGCCAGAAAAATACTTGTAATTTTAACAAACAAAAAATCATTGTCATGGAACTATTTTTACATTCCGTCTGTTGGACAGGGACCTGAAAACGAGTTTTTATTTTAATCGATTATTCTTTATCACAATAAAGATCTGTTGGAAAGAGATTCTCTTGTATTGCATGCAACAAAAAATGAGTGAAGTACTGATTTTTCTTTGTCTGAAAAATTTTTCATCCGGGTAGGAATTAAAAATTTCCGAGTATTGTACTGTACTCTATATACATTACCTGCGACTCTGGTACTACAGTACATCTTGTCATGATGAATTTGTTTCTTGGTCCCGACAGATTCTTCATTCGCACAATGTTTTAAAATTTTTTTTTAACGAACCAGAATTCCCGTATACCGTAATTTCAGTATAAAAAATTGTTATCTTGATTATTTGTCCATGAGCATTAGAAATGTTCACTAATGGTCACAGTATAGAAAACCCCTATTTGTGTATACACTAATGGAAAAACCTTTAAAAAATATCAATGCTGATCTTGTACAGGGAATTTAGTATTCCCGGAAGTATGAAGCCAGAATCAAAATTGATTCAGCTTTTTTTTAGAATTTTGAAGTGGCTAATTTGTTGTAAGAAATTTGTGTATGGAAGCATACTGTTCTACTTCAGGGAACATACGGTTTGAAATTAATAAACGCTCATCCTACGTCTGCACTTTCTGTTTGTTTCAGCTCATACTTCAATGAGATCTTTTTTTTTGTAGGAAAGGGAAGGTTTGAAATAAGATATTTGTACTTCAAATTTTGAATTTTCTCCATTATTCCATCGGGAGAAGTTGGAATTTTTGGGCAATTTTTTTCATATCTGTTGTGGAAGCACAGTACGTCAGAGCATTTTAACCTGTTTCCCACAAGATTTCAGTCTGACGTGCTCCAGAGAACCGTGAATTTCGATTTGATACATTTTTATCCCGTACTTGGGACTTCTTTGTGATGAGATTTTACTGTACGCAAGTGAACTCTACAACGATTTTTTATGATTTCTCGAATTTCGAACTCGACAAAATTCTCCTTACAACGATGTTTTTTTTTCACCTGTACATAGTAAAATCTCATACAACGAACTCTCAGCAGGGACCTGAGAAAAATTCACCAAAGCGAGATTCATGGTTTTCTCTTGAGCATGTCAGACTGCAAATTTTGTGGGGAAACCGGTTTGAAAATTCCCTCTACAACGAGTTTTTATGTTTCCTTGAATTTCGTTGCATAGAATCCCTGTAACATGGAGAGAGAACTCTGTGGGCATAAAAAAAATCGTTGCCTACCCAAGATTTTGGTAGCTACAGAGAGGGAGAGTCGACCTGTATTCTTGTCTCGGTTATTATTCATTTTTTAGGTGGATTGGGAGAAGCGGTTCTTTCTGCTGTCGCTGAATGCCCCGGAATCATTGTCAAAAAGTTGGCAGTGCCGAGAATTCCCCGATCTGGACCTCCAACTGCTCTGTTGGACATGTTTGGAATTTCTGCGAAGAGCATTGTAGAAGCGGTCAAGTCCCTGAACTGAAGAGATGATATGATGTAACACACGTAATATTATCTGCTAATAATAAGAGCCGTGTCGGTACTTTGCTTCAGGTTTAAGCGGTGCTTCTCGATTTTCAGCATTACTGTATTTTAGATGTTCCGGTGAAAAAGAAAAACAAAACTGTGGGCTGAGGTTTCAGTAGGGTAATCAAAACATGTTTACTGCCATTTTTCGGGACATTCCGGTTTGTGATGGGTACTTAATAGCTTTGCGCGTTCTGTTCTTTGAGAGGACGTCATTAGAGATGGTTTTTTTGTTGTTTCACATTTGTAAACAGCACCTTGGCGTATTTTGCTAGAGCTGAAACTGTGTTGTCAACTCGGAATTGCTGCACTTTTCGCGAATTCAATTGGTATGCCTCACTGTTTTCTCAAGCTTATACGTGCAATAGTATTTTAAAGATGAGTCCGAAGATCGATTACTGTCTATCCATCTGTGTATCTGCTGGCCTATTCTTACTTTGTGACTATGCTGGATACATTCGAAACGAATAAACTCGAGAAAGGTAAACTTGTTCCTGTATATTCATTTATAATGTTGATGATGGCCGGCTTTTTATTATGCATTTGAACTGTGCATGGGAGTAGGCTGTAGACTGCTGGTTAATGGTATAGTCTCCCATTTTTTTCTGCTGTTACATAAAGGCAGATAATGGATCTGAGTGACAATGAACTAGCTTATTATTATTGTACTGTACTTATTTGTACAGTATTTTACTTGGTGTTTTTGATGGGTAAGAACTAAATCTAAGTATTCTAGAAATTTGAGTTCTTGTATTGTTTGCTTCTGTATTGTTGCTTATCAATGTAATCAACATAGAAATTAACAATATCAGCAGGTGTTGTTAAACACTGTGGGTTTTACAATCAATACAAATTTTTATTTTGTATTGAAAACCTTTAAGAGGATGACCATAGAATTGTGCAGACAATTGATTTTAAAGATTCGAGCCTCTTTTACCAGGTGAAACCTGGACCGAGTACTTTAAGTACTCTAGACAACTGGGAAATAATAACACAAGCAAGATTGACTTTACAAGTGTATATTTGGTTCCAACATATATGCAATATATTAACCAGCCTAACACGGACTCGGTCCTCTCTGAGGGTATCTTTACCACTGCCGTCTACTGGGCTGTGCAAGGCCAGCCCAGCTTACCAAGTTAGCTTTACCAAGTTAGCTTTTACCAAGTTTATTAACTTGGTAAAACCAGACAGTATAAGGTCATTGCTCGGTGATGGCCATCCAGCCAGACAAAGAAAGGAGACACACACGGATTCCGCAACAAAGTATATGTGAATAATTTATGGGGCTGTCGCCCGCCTGGGGAGAGTTGCAATTAGGGCAGGTAACGATGGAAACTCAGTTGCGCACGCATGCGCCGCCATCCACATTAATGAGTGGGGCAAGGGGCAAAGGAAAGTTAGAGCACATTTTAAACAGCTGACAACAATCACCTGGCACAAAGAAGAAAAAGCTTGCTTTTTCTTTTTTAACTTTGTTGCCGTATGGCAATGTTTTGCTCTATTTAAATTCAGCAAGTGAGAAAAGTGCAACAAGGTTATTCCTTCGCATTCGCAGGTACGTGTGAATTTGCATGTACAGATTTTCAGGTAAGTTTGTTTCCATCTCTGCCATTCAGTTTCCAACTCTTGCGGTGAAACATAGTGCGTGCTTTTTACAGAGTCTTTGAGAATATATATTGAGGTTTTGATTTAACAAATATTTAAAATGCTGGCTGGTAAATTTTTTTGTTTTAGCGGCTTGTATTATTTTTAATAAATATTTCTCAAACGCTCAGAGTGAAAATTGCGCATTAATTGGCGAAAATTGGACTTGCTATGATTTATGCAAGGAAGGCGTTCGTCAAGTTACTGCGTACGATGGAATAGTTAAATTGACCGGTCCGGAACTTAATTTAAATTGTGCAGAATTCAACCAAGTAAAGGTAAGAAAATTATCATTGCAAACATTCAATCTTCGAGAATAATGGACTGTTGATTCTTCAGGTGGTGGTCCTCAATGGTGATGTGGATTGTCTGGGAGATGCAGAAGCTTCTTCCATTTCTCTGGAGGGAGGTCCCTGTAAATTGACGAGACAGTTGTTGGCGGTAATTCGGACAACAGTTGCTCCAGTCTTCAGCAGTGTTCCCATTTTTGAGGGGATCTCCAGTGAGAATCCGGTCTTTTGTGTAACAGAGAAAGTCCTTGATGAGATGACCCTCCCAAGGGAATCCATTCTAGGAGCAGGGGATCTTGGAGGGCATCCTTTTAACAGCTCCGACATTTCACAAAATCATACAACATTCGCAAATCATGATCATGTTTACAAGCAAGTAGTTGCTGGGGTTTCGAGTTTCATTGCAATAATGTTGTTGGTGGTAGGAATTTGTGTGGGCATCGCAAGTGGCCTGATCATTTATATGGTCAGGGAATATGCCATTAATCAAAGGCATCGTCGCGATTACACACAGGTAAGTTAAAAATAAAACAGAATTATAAACAAAAATCTTTAATTAGTTTATGATTTTGACAGGTTCCGATTGGGGAGCAGCAAACATTGACTCCGGAAGTGGTGGAAATGCAGAGTGTGACGAGTGAGACGCGGAATTCAACTTTAAATACCACAAGTGACTGTAATGATTCGGGCATGGAAAGTATTGATCTTTGTGCTTTGTCGCCAATTTTGCATCAAGAACAAAAACACTATGGTTCTGCGTCATCCGTATTGAGTAACGACAGCGTAGTTGTAAAAAATAAAGTGAAAATAACAAAGAATCGCGCGGAAATGCGAAAAAGCGTTCATAGTTTAAAAAACGGGCAAGAGGAAAGAATAAACTTTTCTTGTGTTGTTTCTATGAAAGAAGGAGGAAATCGCGTATTTGAAGTCAAAGGGGGAAGGGAGCCCCTGGCAATTTTGCCATGTATTTTGGAATCAGTATGGAGCGCGTAGTTTTTTGGTTGCCGCGTAAATTGCGCAAAGGTTGACAAGAAAATAAATTTGAATGAAAATCTTCATGACGATTTTCAGAATTATTTATACTTCTTGATTAAACTATCTGATTTTAATTATTTAACCAAATCATGTTTATTTCTTTTGTACAGGAAAATACACCTGGCTTATTTCTATCAGACACAAATATATGAATATACACTTTGATATATATATATATATATATATATATATACTTTCACATTGTTCATATACTTTTTACACAACATATAACCTATTCTTATATTTCTTTCCTTAGAATTTTCACATAACCGTTCTTTGGAAAATACATATATATATACATCTTAATACATATGGAAAACAATGGTTGCTACTTATTCATATAGCATTTTTATATAATGGATTTATATATATATAAATGAACATTTTTTGGTTTGGTAGGTAAAAGTATCCTTACAATTTAAACGGAGCTTCGGACTATCAACAACACTGCTATTTTTCAGGGAGCCAGGAAGTCAGCAAACTTTTATTGCTGCATCTGCGCAAAGCGTTGATTCCCTGACGCGTTTTATGACAGGCAGACCCCTCTTCTCGCCTTGGAGGTTGAACGCTATTGAATAGAATACGGACCCCTAGGCAATTTTAGCAGTTATTTGCTCCAGTTTAAATCTTTGGTTCAAAACATAGTAATCTCGTCCAAGCACGATAGTCTACTTGGTAAGGAGTGCCACCGTTTGAGAATTTGCAAATTTTTGGTCCCGGGTTGAACCTTGTCAGGGGTTCTGGCTTGTTTGTGCCCATCCAGTTCACTGTGAGAAATAAGTGATACGGGATCAGATCCAAACGTGCCAGGATTTCTTAAGAGGGGACACAAAAATTGAATTCTGGGATTTTCACTTCTGGTTTGTGCGTTGAGCATTACAGTAAACGTCCGAACTCGGACGTGCTTATACCGGCATTCTATCATCCAGGAAGGACAGCCCAAAATTTGCAGAGAATACAAATCGTTACCAATAAGCTAGGATGAGCTGCGAACCATTGACTTTAATGCATGGTTCATGGCTGATTCTAGCAGCTTGGGGGGATTGGAATTCTACGAGGATGACATCAGGAAGAAAATACCTGGTATGACTACATGCAGATTGGGGGATTTGAGTTGTACGGTCTATACTGTTGGTGTGAAACTGAATTCCAACAGTAGGATGCATACACTTGAAATCTCTTTTTCGTTTCCTTATACAAATTTTATTGAAGGATATATTCTAGTAGGTCGAGGAGGCATTAATTCTACATTTTCAATTTGTCTAATCAATTGATTTGCTCTCCTACAAACTAAATATACCTTCATCTTGGCATAACAAAAGTATAGTAAACAACACATAATAACCATAGAGGTAATCGACAAACCGAGAAGATAAATATGTCCATAATCTCTGAAGTGCATTTGTACTTCACTAATGTCATCAATTACTTTACGTTTATCTGATTCCGGAGTTATTTTGGTGACGGTTTTTAGTTCAACTCCTTCTATATCTAAATTAGTTACTAAATCGGAAACAGGACCATTTATCATAGTATATTGTCAAGAGTTATGAAATTTCATAATTCCACTATGAGGTAATTTGTATGAATTTTGAGTGGGACCGTTTCCTTGGTCTGGGCAACATTGCGTGACCCAACTTTCTTTAGGATTTATGAAGGCAAATTCATCTTCATCTAATCTTAAGAAGTTGCTTTCAGGAGTAGGGACATTTTCAAGTATGCATTTTTGATTTATCTCCTTTTCCTCTCTATTTTTAAGTAGAGCCTGTAAGCATTCATTCGCAGGTCTATTTGGCATAATGTTAAACTTACATAGTTGGCATCTTGAAAAGTCAATTGAATCAATGCAATTAGGTAATTCGTCATATTCTAATCCCAGGATTTGATCAGTATTCATGAGTAAGAAATCTTCTTTTAATTTTACTTGTTTCCACTTGGGGTTTCCCAAATAAGTTTCTTCCAAGATGGGTAGGCTATGGACCTGGAATAAATTAAAGAATGATTTCTCACTTAATATAGGAATTATGGTCATTAAATGATACATACATGACAAAGGTAAAACTGAAGAAGAATTGGTTAAACACCCGAAAAATGCGCCGACAGTTAAAGGATTTGTATGAATGATGTTTATTAACTCCGCTGCTGTCAGGGCGCTGCTTTCGGTAGCCAAGAATTTGGTAAGAGCAGTTTTAATGTTATTTGGTGTTATTAAACTACTTGGAAATTTTAAATTGTTTTGAAATTCCACATTATTAATTATTGTTTTTAATATTGAGTTAAGGTTATTCAATTGCGTATGTATAGATAATGTAATTGTCTCGAAAACATCATTAGAAGTAATAACACGCATTTCTTGACTTAATTTATTGTAGTCATCTACAAGTCCTTCTATGGTCTTAAAGTAATCACTTGGTGTTGGTGCAGTTAATATAACTCTATTGGAAGTAAAAATAGCTCCAGCAGCAGGTATATTTTTCATTCTATCTTTTAAACTTTTCTCTGAGAAAAAGGAAAA